TACTCTATTTCTTATGTCACTAAAAAATATTTTTTATTTTATAATAGCTTTGTTCGCGGTAAAAATCCTGAATCGAATTATTACTAACAGTAACGGTTTCGCAGGCGCAGTAGTTAAAAAAGCGTTCGCGGAACAAAAAGAACTGAATTATTGGTACTATCTTGCGTTCGCGGTAAAATAATTATTGGTTTTGAACCGCTTGTCTATACCTAAAACACAGATATAATAGGGATTGCGCGCATGCGCTGAAAGTATGAATTAGTAATTCTGAATCAGTTCAGGATTGTTACGGCGAACGAAACTAATATTTTTTTAAATTCTTTGTTCATTTTTCGTTAAAAAAGTAAGAATCTCTCTCTGTCTCTCAAACAAAACTCTGCACGTACTTGAATAATTTGTAACGACTTAATATTTCTAAATTCTAATCTAGTAAGCTAGTGTCCAATTTTGAATAGGTATTTCGTGTATTTAACAAGATCTTGGTAAATCAAAAAAATAAATATATTTAGACATTTTTTATTTATATCTTAGTAACTATGCTATTTAAGGATTCATGTTCTCTTTTCAAAATTCATCAATTAACGAGGGCTCTGTGGTAAAATAATGTCGGTCGAATATACTAACACCCAGTATAAACGCATTCTCTAAAATGGGAAAAGTTAAAATGTTTATCTTTAATTCATATTGTTAAGTAAGAGCGTAGTGGGGAGTGGGAAAATTTCCTTATTATACTATATTAGTGTAATTTATTAGAATTTTGTTAGCATTAAATTTTTTGTTCGCAGATTTTGAAACAGCGATTTTCTAAAACCAGTTTCATCTGAGCATTACCAACTTAAAAGACAACAGCATACTATTTTCAAGTGTTATGGGTCAACAACAGGACCCGAAGGAAACTTTATTGAAGTTTATGGATCCACGCAGAAATTCTGTGTTTGTCTCTTTAGCTGCGGTGGCCGTATCGATATCAAAAATTGTACTAGAAAACGTCATAGTAGATGAATGTTCCTCATCATGGCACCTAGGAATTCTTCTGCGGAATTATCGGGAGACACGGGTGAGAACGTTCCTATTATTATTCTTGGTATTTTGCTTTCTTTTTTGGTGCCCATTCAGTGTTTACGTTTTCATGTCGTTTGATTTTTTGTCCGTCTGTTCTTGGTATCTTCAAATTAGTTTTTAAATCGCCTTTTGTGTCTGGATAAAGAATATTCAGCGAAAGAAGCGCTTTCAACTTCAAATGATTTAGACATCGAATATATGGTATGTATTGGTAAATTTAAAACTTTCTATATAAATGCCAAAACTAGTTTTGGATTCTAGCACAGCGTTTCATAAACTGTGTTTCACGGAATCACATATCTGCCACATGTTGCATTAAAACCATACTACTAAAACAAACCAGAGGACATTATAAAAACGGTTTCATTTATAAAAAAATTAAAAATTATGTTGTTTTTATGCTTCTTTGGTCCTATTTTTTTAATTTGTTAATCAGTTTATTATTGAGTCATTGTTTCTGATTAATATATCCATTTAAAGGGCCACTGCAAAACCATCGAAGTCCATTTTTAGGTGAGTGCCATCTTTTGGTGTTTAAGCAATAGTATCATGTGAGAAAATAAAACATTAAAATACCATTACGGTTCCTTTGAAATTGTATACAAAAGATCGGGCATAGAATTCAATAAACATCAGAGTCCATAAATTATTTTTAATCTTCTGAAAAATTTGGTTTCATAGAACTTGATGGTTTTTCTGTGGACTTTTCACGTTTATTTTTATACTTATAGTGTGTGTTTTTTGTTTTAGATATCACTTTAGATATCACATTCTTTATTACGTCTGGGGCGCAACGCTATCTTGGATTATGTAGCAAACCAATAGTCTTAGCCCGATACTTCCAGCCCGATAGTCCCATCTATTTTATATATTTTTTAAACATTGGATTTGTATGGTTTTTTTAAATAAATTTATTATTTTTGATTATGCTTATTATTCAAATATTAATGAAACCTAAAAACCTGCAAGTCAAGTTAAGATTGGTTTACGTAACTAACTTTTTGCTTTATTATAGCGAATATCGATATAATAACGTAAAAACAGAGTGTGTGTGTGAACAAATCTTAGTTTACTGTAGATGAAAAATACAAAATATATTAAGAGTACTTTTCCAGTACTAAATTGTTAATAATCTTGTGTAGTTCTAAAGCACTTTTTCAGCATTTGCAAGTGACGGGGAACTGTATGTCTAAAAATCGCCGGCCGCCTGGACGCGGGGATGCGGGCAGTGTGGTCTGAAACAAATGCTGTGCCGACACTTCAAGTACTGTTCACATCTATTGTGCCAGTGTTGAGCCATTAATGTGTGTTTGCTGGGATGCCCCCCTTTGCATTTGGGAATTAGGACGCCGATACTCTTTTGTTGCACAAACTACTATTATTATCACAATTTTGAGAGGACCTTTTGGCGAAATTGAAATATTTGAGTAAGTAGGTACATATATTTGATTTCATAATAAAAATTATCTAAAAGAACTTACTTTAACAATTATTGTCTCTAACTAATACGAAAGAAAGTATGTAAACTTTTGATAACACACCACTTTTTAAATTTATCTTTTATTTACAGTCAAAGAAAAAAATATGTTGGTATGCGGAGGTAAGGGTTAAAGCAGGGGTAGGCATTACTGGTCGCCCAAGTGAGCTGTGTGATAATTTCAACTGACCCACTTGAGTAAAATATAATTTTTACCCAAATATATTAATTTTCACAATGTATGGCAACATTGCATATAACAGGGTCAATGTTATAGATAGTGTCATATAGATTGCTCAAAGCGAGTCGCTTTGCGAGCGGCCCTATTGCCTATAACAGAATTAGTTTAAAAGAAATGTGTTTTAATCAATGAAGTGGAGAGGGGTAGAATGATAACTGTCAATGAAAAAGTCTAGACACTATGCACAATTTCGTTTTGCACATTTTGTAAACAAGATTCAGGGACGGTTTAACAAGATTTTGTGCAACAATTATAAAATAGTGCATCGGAAAATAATTAACAAGTATAATTTAATACTAATTTGAAATAAAAGCACAAAAAATCACAAATATACGCAAAATAACAAAGAATTGACGCCAAAAAAGCTTACAACAGCCACAACACAAACAAAAAACAGAGCTGAACATGAACATAATCGCTGAACAATGCCAATCCTGGAATTTGTTTATAGTGCTTTAGGGCAACCTTTCCTTGTCATTTACATGTGTAAGAATGGAAGGTTGAATCATGCATAATTTCTACACTCGTGATGGATGCCCAGACGGTACTTTATCGTTCTGCCCTCTCTACTTCTTTGGTGTTAATACTAATTTTCAGCATTTAATTATGGAAAAAAAAATTACCTACATTTTTACTTCAAATCATAACCTTATGTTCATTTTGAAAAACATAGATAAACATTCTATGTAACTATCTATTTCATTGACCCAGTCAAATCACCATGTCCACAAGGTTGCCATTCGTGACCCATTAGCAACGATTTTTATTTGGAATGTCTAATAAAATCTAATGCCTCACACTTCCCTGACCTCTAGGACAATGAAATATATTTCTTGTTTCATAAATAAATTTAAAATTTGATTTAAAATAACACCAAGGCGACTGATTGTGAAAAACCGGTTCTTGTTTTAACATCGCCTTGTTTTTCAAATTAACATTCGACGCCATCTCTTATTCAGTAGAATTACTAAATAGCTTTTAATATCGGATTCTTTCTTCTATATAAAAGTCAGTGTTGCCATTGGTATATCGTTATAGGAAGAACTTCTTACAACGCTGAGCACATTTACGATAATCTTATCAATTAAGTGATTGCGATTGCTCACGTCTACCAGTTAGTAATTGATGTGAAACTAAATACACTTCAATCTCTCATATGAGCAGCGCTATCAGACCAGACTGAAACAGGGCCTTCTAAAAATGGCATATCATTTTTTTGCATAAAAAGAAAAATTAATAAACAACTAATTTACCTAACCTACGTGGCCTGGAGCTATTTAAATTTAACCGATCGCTCATTCAATTATTTTCTTATTTAATGTATAATATTTATGTGAAGCAACACACGATGGCTCCAGGCTGCACAGGTTAGGTAAAGTTTTTTTTTAATCATTTTATGCATTAACTGAATATGATCGCACTGTACATATGAGGGGTTGGAGTGTAATTAGTTTCCCAATAATTACTAACTGGTATGAGCGAGCAATCGCATGATCACATAAGAATTATCGAAAATGTGCCAACGGTTAACATATTACGTTGCGTTTGAATATCCACATCCGAAGCATTTTTTACATCTCGAGCGTTTGTTTATCCACATCGGACACATCTACATCTGTGTTTGTTTATCCGAGATGTACCTGTCCAGATTACATTTTTTACATCTCGATTTGAAACGAGATGTTCGTTCATGCCAGAAAGTAAATATTCTGTGAACCAAGTTTGTCAATTTATCCTTTGTTTATTCTAGCATGAATATAAAAGTGAATTAGTTTGTTTAATTTTTGTTTAGATTTCAAATTTAGGTTAATTTGTAGTCTCAAAAGTCAAATTTAAAAAGTATAAACTTCTAACTTGTCATCGTCATTTTATCACGTGAAGTCTAGAGCGTTTGTTTATTACATCTACATTCAGATCTAATTCTTTATCACATGATAAAAAATTCACAACATTTCAGATACATCCGATGTGGAAATTCAAACGCGGCAATAGATTAAACAAAATTTCGCATTTGAGAAACGCGGGAAATAAATGGGGATTTGTGCTAATGTAATTCTCTATCACGTGATAAAAAAATTCACATCTCAGATCTGATGCATCCGATGTGGATATTCAAACGCGGCATTATTACAGTTGTAAAGGAAATGGTGAGAACGTGACAACACCGCTTAAAGATCCTTGAAAATAGAAAGTGGGTGTTGTATTGTCAGTGTCAGTTGTCACTTCTTGTTTGTTGTTGTGATATTCGTGACTCAAGTATGACTGTTACATGACGCTTAAATATAATATTACTGGTTTTTTGTTATCATAAATTATATATATAGATGTGCAGGTAAGTGATAAGAAATTTTGATTAGATTTGATAATAATTTCAAACATTTGAAATTTGCGGGAATTATGAAATTCGTATGAAAATATTAAAAAATATGCCACTCCCATTATTACTAATAAGAAACACTAATTATATATTTTTTTCTTTTAGCCATGCGGTTATTTTGGATTACACCTTTATTAGGAATAAGTTTTGCACAATTAGACCCATATAACACAAATGCATTAAGCGAAAATCAAAATAATGTAAACGATAATAGTCAAATTTACAATTTAAACAATCCAAGTTCAAATTACAACCCTAGTTTTAATTATCCCGATTACAATCAAAATAATTACAACCAAGGATCTAATTTTAATCAAAATCAAAATTATAATCCAAATAATTTTAATAGAGAGGTTGTTAGTCATAATAACAACCCAACTTATAATCCAAATACAAACTACCCTGTATATGGATATGGAGGAAATTCTTATGGAAATGATGAATTAACATGTCCCCAATACTGGATAAGATTTCAGAATAATTGTTACAGATTTGTCAAATCCCCACTAAGAGCTTATATTGAAGCAAGAAAAATCTGTCAGGTTAGTCAAATTTAGTAATATATTTCTCATATTTATAACAATTATAGTTTTGAATTTAATTTTAGTCCTATACACCTGACAGTGGACAAGGAGGTAACAGTGGTGGATCAGACTTAGTATCAATAAATACTTCTGAAGAACATGGCTTTATTATATATCAATTAAATTTACTTGACCCTCAACATAGGAGATGGTACATTGGATCACACCAAAGTTCCCCAAGCTATTACACAAACGTTGATGGAACGCAGCTAGTTAGTGTTGAAAATGCAATTATTGAAGTTCAATATCCTTATGGTAAAGATTACTTAGCTTATAATTTTTCAAGAGCCTTGTTACATTGGGGATTTGAACCTGTCCGAGGGGACGAACCATTGTTATTTATATGTGAAGCAAATATTGGAGCTGTGCAAAGATTAGTTAGTGAAAATAGAAGTTTTACATATGGGATTGATGTAGCTGATCCTGAAAAAATACCGAGGGGGCCTTATTTTATTAAACAACCTACTGATGCCACTTTTGATACTTCAAAAAGGAAGCTTTATAATGATGTTAGTGTAAGGTATGTTAATTCTTTATTTATTCAATAGATATATCCAGTCTTGCATTGTACTAAGCACAATAAATGTGATGATGATAAGTATTCAACTTAAAAATGTCTTGTTTTTATGAGTGTAAATTATTAATTTTACAAAATTTCTAACTACTGCTTGTTACATGTTCTTGATTATTCAATAGAAAAACAAATCAATATTTTCCAAGAACGAATTTCATTGTTAAACAAAGGTGTATCATTTATATTTAAACAATTAATTAAAATAATGTCAAGATAATTGTAACAAATTAATTAAATAAAATGTAATCATCTAAAAACTGCTACACTGTTATTGGTTTGAATTTGTTTACACATAAACTCAAAAAATATTTATGTTTAATTATTTTTTTAAGATAAATTTTTTCTTAATTGCATGACTCTTTGATATGATTTATTTATGTTTTTGAATAATTAAAATCTAATGTGTCACTTTGGGTTAAACCAAAATTTTGAGAGAATGGAAAGTTTTTATTATAATAGTGTTTCATTGAGTTTTTTTTTTCAAATAGTTTCAGTCAAAAACATAAATTTGGGATTTGGTTGACTGACTTAAGAATTAAAAGAGGTTGGGGAATAGAATTGAGAATAGATCTCGTCTGTGCTCTCATGCCTAGATCCTAGGCTACTGGGGTGAACCACTCCCAATATACTTTAAATTACTACAAATTTTCTCAAAATTTACAAAATCATTGAAAATCATGGTCGAAATCAATTCATTTAAAAATATAAATGCTACAGCTTGTGAATCAGATTGCAAGGGAAAAGTAAAACAAAGATCATCTTATAAAATTAAGGGAGCTTTTCTGCCCAATTACTGATATCATATAAAATCGATTTAAGGTGATTTCTGAAATACGGATACGTTTATATCTTGGTTCATATGTACGATATCCGACGATACGGTGATCCGAAAATATTCCTATTGGCTGATTATTTTCACGAAACTTGAACTATTTCTTTAACATTGGAGGATTTCAATATATTTTAACTTTTATACTATGATTCATCCAATCATATATTTTTTTAAATAATCAGTCAATAAAAACATTTTCGTATCGTATATAAATATAAAATCGTTTATTTTAGTCAAAAACAATTTTTTACATGTCAATACATCTTCAAATTTAAGATAAAAAAAAATAAAAAATAGATAAGTATAGGGTCAATATACATTTAAAATAAAATAAAAATACATAAGTATACAGTCGACGTACATGTAAAATGATAACATAATGTCAACTATACAAAACAAGAAGAAGAATAAATCATCAAACAGTCAGCAAGTACTCATGCAGTTTTCTTTTAAATATTGCTGCGTTTGAAGAGCATTTAATATCTTCAGGCAAATTATTAAAAACCTGTACACCATAAAAAACACTGAATTTTCCTGTGTTGTGGATTGTGTTTATGAACATCCTGATTATAACTTAAAATATTTTGTAAATATACTTAAATATAAATAGCATGGATATCACAAGTATGAACAGTAGCCCTTAGTCTGCTGATATTTTATAAATATGAATATGGTAACTCCAATATCTATTCAGTATCTTAAAACATTAAAATTTTATCAATTTTTAGTACAGAGGTTATCAATAATTATTTTTTGTGAACTGAATATATTTTTTGTTTATTTGTTTTTGACCTAATTATGAAAAGATTAATAATATTCAACCAAATTTACTTAATTATTAAAAATACTTTTTATTATTTCTAATAATTGTAGCATTCATTGATTAAATTATATACAGTGAGCATCATAAGTCTTACCCCCCCCCCCCCTAACTAACTCGTTACTGGAGTCTTGTTAGGAAAATCGCCGAGACAGGTCGATTTTTGTTTTCTACCATGTACATTTTTGTATGATTAGTTTACCCTTAATTTCATCCCTTACTGGAGGGGAACAACCCTTTCGAAAAATTTAAATGGCATGGGGTGGTGAGTGATAGCTCATTTGAAAGGGGGTTTTATTCTCTATTCAACCGTGCAAAAAAAAATTAAATTTGCTTCATTAGGTGTTGATTTATTAATGTTTAAAAATAACAAAACCTCACAAAATAGGAAAGTAACTAAACTAATAGTGACCTTCTAATGGCAAAAAGTCTTACTTCACGTCTGAACCAAAACCGAAATCATGCAGGGCCGAATTTTAATTCTAAGGATGAGTGCGCTACGTTAATTTCCGTTATTCTGAAACAACAATTAGTCGAGAATTAATGAAGCAAATTTCAAATTTTTTTACATGGTTGAATAGAGAATAAAACCCTCTTTCAAATGAGCTATCACTCACCACCCCATGTCATTTAAAATTTTCGAAAGGGTTGCTCCCCTCCAGTAAGGGATGAAATTAAGGGTAAACTATTCATACAAAAATGGACATTGTAGAAATCAAAAATCGACGTGTCTCGGCGATTTTCCTAACAAGACTCCAGTAACGAGTTAGATAGGGGGGTAAGACTTATGGTGCTCACTGTATAAGAATATACCTTCAGTATTTCTGAGATTTAATTATATTATAATTGTAAATTTGTAAATAATGTTGACGTTTTAATTAAATTCATTCTGATGCAGAAAAAGAACAAAACAGTTTCAATTCAATTTATTTAATTCAATTATATATACAATATACATGATATGACAACATAATATTAAACAAATACTTAGGCTTGTACTAATAACTGCACCTAAATGACTTAACACTTGTATGTGCAAGAATGAAATGTAAAATATAACAATATAATTGATTTAAAGTTACTCTGATAAACTCAGTTCTGCTATTAGCATTACCCAGAAGCAACGACGGGGACGTTGCAGATACTGTTCCCTTCGGGTGCTTGTTTATAGTGAGTCCCCTCACCTCTCACTTTTTTCCCTCCCAATTTCTCAATCTTTGCATGCTTATTTATGGGGTCTGCAGGTTTGATCAAAACTCCTTCTAAGCGCCTTTCTCATATGCCCCTTGTTGGTATCCCTCTTCAAGTTCCAACAGTAATCTGCCAACATGTTAATGTCCCAGAAACCTTGGTAGCGTCTTTTCATCTCTTTTATATCTTGGTGAAATCTTTCATCTTGTTCTTCGCTAAAATGTAGGTTTTCTGAGACAAACATTTTGGAAAGATTCTGGGTCCTTAAGGTGAATGTTGGGTCATGAACTCACAGCAAATGCATCGTCGCAATCGACGCTTGGCAGTGGAATAGAAAGTCGCCAGTTAGTAACCCCCTGAGCCAGTTCTCCACCTTGGGCCAGACCTGAGCGGGACACGAAGCTTAACTCCAATGTTCTGGCAAGGTTCTAGGGTCATTTGGGTCAGTGCTGGATCCACTGGCATTATCTACAGCAAATGGATCGCCGAAATTGAACACCTTGGCGGGGAGATCGAAATTCGCGAGATAAAACCATCATGGTAACATTTTATCCACTGGGCTGTCCCTGTGGTGATTCTGGTCGAGATTCAAGGCCCTTGTCCAATGTTTGGAAGGTATTCGCGACCTAGACAGTTACCCCTCTACTTAACAGATCGCTTAAGAAATTGTCCCGGGCCGGTTCCGAAAAAGCACCATTTTAACCTCTAAATGACCTTGAAATCTGGGTTTTCTGACGTGATGGGGCAAAACTGACCCCGGGATCGAATTTAGGACGCCAAAATACCTAGGAATACCATAGTCCGGACTTTATTTTTGTAAACCTGTGTAATTTAGAGTGGTGTGGTTTGGGCTCTTAATTATATCTAAACTTTGATCAAATTTAACATACAGTGAGCATCATAAGTCTTACCCCCCTATCTAACTCGTTACCGGAGTCTTGTTAGGAAAATCTCCAAGACACGTCGATTTTTGATTTGAAGACATCTTTAAGGCTGGGAAATGGACTAAAAATGGCGGCCGTTTTTGTCATTTTACAACGTGTTACTAAATCATGCTTTTTAGATTAATAAAGAAAAATTACAAGGAAATTGAGTTATAATTATAAACAGAAATGTTGTAAGAATGAATTGAATATACATATATTCGATAATAACTAATCATAATTTCTGATTATCATTAAAAACTTGAAAAATTTTATTGCAAGGATGATTAAGCAAATTATTTTCAATGAATTCTCTATGATTTTTTATTAACTATCCTACAATATGACGGCTGTCGGTCTAATAATTATTACAAAAAGCATGATTTCAATTTGCAAATTTTGACACAATTTTTAAAATTGACGCCTTAATTATCATGTCATTTTAGTACATCGTGTTCACCACCAATGCGACATGCAAGGCTGATTTAACATATGCATTGAAACTTGGGCGACAACTAATGGTTGCCAATCAGAAAAGTAAACGTCTTATGTCAAATTATTGGTTGACCAATTAGAAATGCAAACGGCATGTCAAATTATTTCAAAGTACAAAACGAACCGTTGCTCAAATATATGATAATCAATGATAATACGACGTTGCCGTTCTATGTATGTTTACAATGGTTTTAAAGATATTTATTGAGTGACAAAATCTTTCTCCATAGACAAAATCGGGAAGATTTTAAGGCACAAGCACTTTTGTTAGTTGACAAGAATTAAAAAAAATATAGTTTTGTACGTTCTCAAACCTGCTTTATACAGTGTGTGTCAATAAGTTGGATCCATATGTGATTTTTTTTTTGATATTACGATTGGAAAAAACATCGTAAACCATCATCTCTGGTTATTTAAAAACTTAAACCAACCCATATTAAATTTGACTACTGGATTTAGTTCTGTCAGTCTCGTTTAAAAAAGGATTTTTGAGCGATTTTTCAAAATTATTACGAATTTGACAGGTAAGTAACGTACGTAGCCAACTTTTTAAATAATCAGAGGTAAATGACGTTTTTTCCGGCCATAATATTAAAACAAATTGCCATATATATATATATATATATATATATATATATATATATATATATATATATATATATATATATATATATATATATATATATATATATATATATATATATATATGGACCCAACTTTATTGCACTCACTGTATGTCATATACACGTGTCATGAAGACTAATTTTAAGAATTGAAACCAATGAACTGGTGTACAAATGGATATTTTTCTGCAATATTAATTTTGAGTTTGTTTGAAGTAGTTATTATAATCAGTTTTATTAATGTTAATTGTATCGGTTTATGAGCAATTTTAATAAAAACTAATTCAAAACTTGCAAAAATACCGAAATATTTTTGTTTATTGCAAAAATAATTATTGATAGGACATGGGTGGAAGGAAATTAGACATAAAACAAAAAGTAGTTTATTAGAAAAAAGATTATAGTATATTACAATAAAAACAACCTAAAATATAATACAGATGTCAAAAATATTGGAAATGAATCCTTCATATATCTTTCAACATTAAATTTTTGTTACACTTTTATTCCTTGAGGAACTTTGAAACCAAACGACTTTTGGGAACACATGACTTTCCAATTGTACATCTTATTTCTCTTCCTCTTTCTACTCGGGACATTTGTATGATGCCCCATATTTTATAATGTAAAAGTTTATTCACTAACTACTAAATATCCTTATAACTAATGAAGTCTTATAAAAGTAACAAAATCACGAATAACGAAAAAGCACAAAAAAATAACAACGCCCACTCAAAAATCTGCCAAAATTTAAACACGAAAAACGAACTGTTTACGTTTTGTCGTTTAGACTTCAATCCTTCGACATTTGAGTTTTTTGTCTTGTCAGTTGCCAGAGACTACCAGTTGCTTAGTTCTGAAATTCACAATAATCGATCCAATCGATTGTTAAGTTTCACAATTTCTGTCTAATCAACAAAAGCATGAGCGATCACGCTATTGTCAAATTATATTTTTACTTAAGTAATATCATTATGCATTTTAGAGGTACCATTACCTAATAAGTAGGCATAAAAAATTAAAAATTCTTATTTTATTACCGAAATGAATCGAGGAATCATTTAAATTCCAAAATAATCGATTTATATTTATAGAAGTTTTGCAAATTTTTAGGTAAAATGTAAACAAAACCCTTCGGATTAGGAAAAACCATAAAGTAATAAAATTTCTACCCAACCATAAAATACCTTTCACTCCAACCCAAAAATTGCGATGTGGAAAAGTTCAATTGACCCGGTTCTTTAGGATTAAAATTATTATTATGACCGTCAAATATAGTTTACAAGTGAATACAATATACCAATAATGTTAATAAATGTTGAAATATTATTCTAAAGTAAAATTTAATGTTTTTTTTTCTTCTTGTTACATTTAACCTACTTACTACTTACCAACTAGGTACAAGTTTTGACAGATTAATTTTTCATGTAACAGTGCAATTATTAAATTGAAACTGGATATCGCAAAATATATTATTCTTCTAAAACATTTATTGGTATCTGTCTACCTAGATTTGGCAACCTGGATATAAAAACAAGTACGCTTAAAAATAAAATTGTTATACGAGCTACAGGTACAGGTATTGCCATCTATGTACAATGTATTGAATACTTGCTTTGTTGCAAAACCGCTGGATCAAATGTCGCAGCCTTAAGTTGCAAGGTCATTGAAAGATCTGCGCCATCTATAAGTTTACATAACAACTAATAAAATACAAAAGAAAACTGTAAATTATTTTGGTAATCTGTCTAAAGTTACGGCGGCGTCAGCATAAACTTCTTTTTTCTTGCCTTCTTCATTTCATTTTTCACTCTCACTATCGCCAAGATCTGGAATCTAGATCTACATGTCTTGCTAAGCGCGCGTTATGTCTCTATGGCTGATTTTTGTTAAATTAAACCTTTTTTAATGGGTGTCGGCTGCATTACCCAACAATGATAAATACATCTATTCACTTTAAAATTTAAAGTAGTAAACAAAAGGTGCACACCTACCTTTTAACTTTACTTTTCATAATTTTCTTTGTGTTTCTAAGCTAGTATTTTGAAAATAAATGCAAAAAATAATTCAAAAACAAAACCAGATATTGTAACCTCAATTTGTTTTGTTTTTACAAATTTTGACATGACATATGACTAAGAAAAAGAAGACTCTGGGACTGGGCACTAAGTAGATAGAGATGGTGAAAAACTGAGCACATACAAATAATGAAGAAGACAAAGAAAAAATGAATACCGATGCTATAACCTTAAACAGATTGCCAAAATAATAATTTACAGTTTTCTTTTTTTTTATTAGTTGTAATATAAACTTATAGATGGCGCAAAGATCTTCCAATGGCCTTGCAACTTCAAGATGTCTTCGGTTGAAATCATCTATTTCATCCCTTACTAGAGGGGAGCAACCCTTTCGAAAAATTTAAATGGCATGGGGTGGTGAGTGATAGCTCATTTGAAAGGGGGTTTTATTCTTTATTCAACCGTGCAAAAAAATTTAAAATTTGCTTCATTAATTCTCGACTAATTATTGTTTCAGAATAACGAAAATTAACGTAGCGCACTCATCCTTAGAATTAAAATTCGGCCCTGCATGATATCGGTTTTGGTTAGGACGTGAAGTAAGACTTTTTGCCATTAGATAAGGTCACTGTTAGTTTAGTTGCTTTCCTGTTTGAGATGTTTTGTTATTTTTAAACATTAATAAATCAACACGTAATGAGTTAGACTTATGATGCTCACTGTATAACCCACTAATAGGGCAGCGGTTCAGTTTAACAGGTTAAATTCTGTGTATTAATATCTGAAGTGTAGATGTGCTGACAGTGGTTAAGTACTTGGATGAGTGGCCATTTAAAGTAACGCCTTGTATAAAGCTGGCTTAGTTACATATTGGACCGGGAGCTGCTGCCTTAAAACTTATCTTATAATAAAAAAAAGGTCTTTATTTTTAAATCTTCGGTGAAGGGTGAATCTAATCCTGTAATGTCAGCAGATAGATCTTTTTATTTTTGTTTCTCTATATATTAATTCCACTTTTTAAATTAATTTTATTTTTTGTATTAACAAGTTAATAAAGGAGTAAATTATATCAAACGACTAATATTTTTTATAAATGTATTGATAAATAAAGATTATTGAAATAACTTGTAAAATTATTGAACTTAGAACAAAAGTATGTATTGATGTTTTAATTTCAGTTGTTCCGCTGGAGGATACCCAACTCCAACCTATGAATGGTATCGAGAGGATTATGAAAACGACAGGCTAGTTGCGCACAAAATAGACCCCTTACAAGATAGCCGTTATACCATAAGCGGGGGAACCTTAATAATACACAATCCTCAACAAAAACTGGACCACGCAACTTACCATTGTAAAGCTTCCAACAAATTCGGCACAGTAATATCAGAAAGTGTTCACCTCAATTTCGGTTTTATTCTGGAATTCGTATTGAAACGTTCGCCAGAAGCAGGAGATCAAAATTGGGGAAAATCAATCTATTGTGATCCACCAAATCATTTTCCTTCTGTTAAGTATTCTTGGTCACGTGATTATTTCCCTAACTTTGTTGAGGAGGATGGACGTGTGTTTGTATCTAATGATGGGGCCTTATATTTTTCTGCTTTAGAAACGATTGATAGGGCAAATTACAGTTGTAGTGTCAATTCAGAATTTTCAGATTCTGGTAGAAATGGACCGTTCTTCCCTTTAAGAGTTAATCCACACTGTAAGTTATTGAATATGTACCTTCAATTTATACAGTAGTATTTAAAAATATATATATATATAAAAAAAACGCATTCTTCAATCTAACAAATATAGTGTATGTTGTAAAAATATACATAAATTTATTATTGTGAAAAATTTATGTTTGTTATTAGTTTTTACTAATTTTATCACTATCGCCTTTATAAATATAATTTATAAACTATATTATCACCATATTTTTATTTCAGCAAATTATCAGCAACTGAAGTTCCCTAATAATTTCCCTAAAGCTTTCCCTGAAGCACCTACGGCTGGGAAAGAAGTTAGACTGGAATGTGTGGCTTTTGGATAGTAAGTCCCTTTTAAATAATAATAATATTTATTAACTCAAAAGCCAGTTATATAATTTAATCTAACCACATGTAAATTGTCACAATACTGACTGATCTTGGTTTTGAAATTAAACAAGGAATTATAAAGAAAAAAAACTATTTTATACTTTAGTTGAAAGAAGATTGTAATTGGCTGCATTTTTATATTTTAGTCCAGTTCCAAGTTACAATTGGACCCGAAAAGGCGGAAACTTACCAAGGAGTGCCTTTTTTGTGAGCTACAATAGAGTTCTTGTGATACCTAAAGTTCAGGTTGAAGATGAAGGAGAGTACATTTGCCGTGCCTATAATGATAGAGCTAGCATAGAGAATAATGTTATATTAAGTATTCAAGGTATGAAACAATCCAATTCCATTTCATATTCTCTGAACAATTACATTCTCTAAAATCCATATTTTTTTACAACTTTCCAGCTGAACCTACTTTTACTATTCCGCTAAATGATAGACATGTGGACAGCAAGAGTGAGTTAATTTGGACCTGTGAAGCATTTGGAATGCCTGATGTGAATTATACATGGTGGAAAAATGGTCGCCAATTAGGTAGTATTTCTTACATTTCCATTGTAGTTCATTAAAAATGAATCAATGATTTGTCTTTTAGTTATGGGTTATATGGACATGGAAGATAGGGGTAGAATAAAAATTCAAGATAACGTTTTGACTATTTCTTATGTAGACCAAGATAGGGATCCAGGAATGTACCAATGTAGAGCTTCCAATACTTTGAAAACTTCTTATTCCTCAGCCCAATTGAGAGTTTTAGCATTTAAACCATCCTTCAAAAAGACCCCATTAGAATTCGAAACGTATGCAGCTGAGGGTGGCAATGTGACCATTAAATGTCATCCAGAGGCAGCTCCTAGACCTAAATTTGTTTGGAAAAAAGATGGAAACATCATAGGTTCTGGAGGCCACAGACGGATATTTGATAATGGCAATTTATACATCAGTCCTGTATCTAGGGACGATGAAGGACTTTACATATGTACGGCTTCAAATGAGCTTGGTATTGATGAATCTAAAGGACGACTTATCGTTTTGCGTAAGTAGTTGCCATTTTACCGTCATTTAAATTGTCAAAAATAGAGGTTTAATGTTTCCTAAGAATCTAGGATTATAGATACTTGTTGCATTGTACTATTGGTCCCCAAATGTCTGCTTTCTCAACATTGCTATATTAGTGAGAGAATCGGTTTTAAATATTCGAAAAATTTAATGAATAAATTCCCAGAAAATCCCCAAACAAATCCCAATATTTCGTAGTGGTAACAATAGGGACTTGTTTGGAGATTTCCTGGGAATTAATTCATATTATTTATTGTTTCGGCCTTTACTTGATGAAAATCCATTTAATTTTGAAAGAGTAAAACCAAATTTGGTAGATTTTCACACTTTTATTTTAAAAATAAAAAAAAAATTTTTATTTTTTTTTTTAAAAAACACTTACATGACATATGTTTCGAAGTACAACTTCTTTTTCAAATGTGACTATTTACAATTCGGTATCCAATATATATACGAAATAATTTAACAATACAAAGTACTTAAGAAAACATCAATAACATTACAAAATAAACTAACTATTTAAAGTAAATAAGGGTACTTAGGTAATTATAATATCCATCAGATAACAATAAGATAGCCCATTACCGGGATTATCTCACAGAAAACTGGGAAAGAGATTTAATAAGGGTGAATTATTAATATCTAATTGATCATTTAGTAAGTTATCTGAATTTTTAAATCTATTTATTTCAAGTGTTTCTAAATGGTTTAATTTAAGGCTCTTATTTTCTACATGTAAAATTTCAAAGTTGTCTGTAAAAGAATGATTTTCAGCTAAAATATGATTTGAGTAAGTAGAATTATTTTTGTTTTTTGTATAGCTATTATAATGTTCGGAATAGCGTTTTTTGAAAGTACGGCCTGTTTGACCAATATACAATTTTGGACAACTACCACAATTTAATTTATATACCCCCGATTTATTATTAGGATTAATTTTACCCTTATTGTTTTTAATATACTTCCCAAGCGTATTATTGGTTTTAAAAGCTACGTTAATATTTTGGTTTTTTAAATATGATGATACCTTTTCACTAGGAGCTCCTATATATGTAAGACTCTTATATCTGCAATTTGGATCTTTAATTATGGGATAAATTTGTTGAATAGCCTGTTTAAAAAGTTTTTTCTCTAAAATGTTGTCTACTAACTTTGAATTAAAATTATTATTTACTGCGATTTGTTTAATGATATTTAATTCTTTTGTGAAGTTCTCTTTGGTAAGGGGAATATTAACTAATCTATGGATCATACTGTTGTATGCTGCCAGCTTTTGTTTGTATGGATGAGATGAACTATTATTTATTGTAATATCCGTATGTGATGGCTTATGAAATATCCCAAAACTATGGCCTTTATTATTTTTAATAATATTTAAGTCTAAAAAATTAATTGAATTATCCTTCTCTGTTTCCATAGTAAATTTAATATTAGGGTGTATAGTATTGATAAAAACTAATAAAGAATTTAACTGTCTACTAGTACCAGTAAAAGCAGTCAATATATGGTTACTTTAAATAGTTAGTTTATTTTGTAATGTTATTGATGTTTTCTTAAGTACTTTGTATTGTTAAATTATTTCGTATATATATTGGATACCGAATTGTAAATAGTCACATTTGAAAAAGAAGTTGTACTACGAAACATATGTCATGTAAGTGTTTTTTTTTTTTAAATTTTTATTTTTAAAATAAAAGTGTGAAAATCTACCAAATTTGGTTTTACTCTTTCAAAATTAATTCATAACTATATTACCCTAAAACGAATCTGATATTTTATAGGAGGCCCTCGTCTTGTTGAACCGTTAAGTGAAATAGTAAGGACATCAATCGGTAGGAACATTGATTTGCGTTGTTACGCAGTTACAGACGAAATGTTGGACATTGCCTACATCTGGAAACACAATGGAATGGTTATTCGTGACATTGACGTCAAAAATTCTTACAATCGTTTGAAAGTTGACGGAGGTTATTTGCGAATAATCAACGCAACATTTTCTGATACAGGAGAATACGAATGTTTGATTAAGTCAGCAGTTGGAAGAATATTTTCGAGAGCATTGGTGATTGTTGAAGGACCCCCGGGACCACCAGGAGGTGTGCAGGTGTTGAACATCCAAAAAACCTCTGCTACCCTACAATGGACTGATGGTGCTACACATGGATCTCCAATACACAGCTACACTATAAGTGGTAGAACCAATTGGAACCAAACTTGGGTCAACATCACTCATGGTGTAAGAGCTACGGAGATCGACAGATACACTGGGAGAAAAGAAGCAATTATAGATAACATTTTAACACCATGGTCTGTATACGAGTTTAGGGTAGCAGCTTGGAATAATCTAGGTATGGGCATCCCGTCACAACCTAGTCCAAAACATGCTACTCCTCCGGACAGACCTTACATTGCACCCCATGCAGTCTGGGGAGGTGGCGGAAAGATTGGAGATCTGACCATAAGATGGACTCCCCTCAAATCGGATGAACAAAATGGACCAGGAATTTATTATAAAATATTCTGGAAGAGGAAAGGTGGCGGTGGCGAGGCAGAATATGAAAGCCAGTCTTTGGAAGAATTTGGAAATGTTGGAGAGGCTGTGGTTTACATCAACTTTCAATATTATTACACAGAATATATAGTCAAAGTTCAAGCTTTTAACGATGAAGGAGCTGGTCCCATAAGTAAAGAAGTTATCATATATTCAGCTGAAGACATGCCCCAGGTGGCGCCTCAACTGGTTATAGCCAAGTCTTTCAATTCGACCGCGCTAAATGTTAGTTGGGTGCCAGTCGATCAGACTAGAGAAAAAATTAGAGGAAAACTTATTGGACACAGGGTAAGAGCTTTTATTTTTTTTAAAGTAATTAAATGGCATCGATCACACAAGTCTAAACCAGCAATTAAAAACTATAAGATTTATTGACTACCTACTAATATAACTTTATTAAAGTTGATAGTGGATTTTCATATTTTTTTTTTATTATTTATTTATTAAACAGGAAACCTCCATTACAAAATCAAAATAACAACTGTATAATATATGGTTATGTCAACATAAATTTAACAAATCTAAATAAGTAATTCTAGAAATATAGGAAAGAAACAGTCTTATCAAAAATGACAAAAAAATCACAAGAATATTAAGTCAATACAATGACATTATTTCAGTGCCTACAGCCTATTTAGTAGCGATTATATTGAATCAAAGTATTCTTAGTAGAGTGCTCTTAAACACTTGAAAAGAGTTATTAAAAACATCCAATCTACCCTCTCTATTAAAAAACTCTAGAGATCTGCCCCTAAAACTAATGTCTATCATATTTTGTTCTATGAAAATTAATGGAAAATATATTATTTTGACGTAGCGTTCTGTGTGGAACTGCAATGTTTATTTTAGACAGCAAAGATGGACATGAGACAATACCATTTAATAAATTTTCATAAATGTCCAGAGCAAGCAATTTTAGTTTATGTAGGATAAGAGAATAGTCATGATGAACCTATAATTACAATATCTTAAGAATTTATTTTATAGATCTGAAAAGGTTACAACAACGGTCAAACTCCTCTAAAAATGTATAAGCTTTATCGACAACAAACGCATCTTTATATTTTTTAGTTATTTACTCTTACAGTGTTTATTGTTTTTTACATCTTATTTTCAGATCAAGTATTGGAAGAAAGACAGTATTGAACAAGATGCTGTTTATTACTTATCCAGACAATTAAGACCATGGGCACTTATTGTTGGTCTTGAGCCGGACACTTACTATTATGTAAAAGCTATGGTATACAATGCAGCTGGAGAAGGTCCAGAGAGTGAACGTTTCATAGGTAAGACCGGTGTTCAGATCATTAAATAATTTAATATTATTTATTTTTTTCAGAACGTACTTACAGGAAGGCACCTCAGAAACCGCCGTCTTCTGTAATGGTTTATGGTATTAATCCATCAACAGTTAAAGTTGTCTGGCGTTATGTCCAACCATCTTTGGAGGAAGAACCTTTGCAAGGTTATAAGGTAAATTAAAAAATATATCATCTTTTTAATTCTTAATATTCATTTTAATGCGTCTCTATATGTATAACGTTGTGTTTTAAATTAATTTACTTAGTTACTGATTCAACTTTTGTAAAATCTACTTTAATTTGACCTGGATGATAAAATATATATTCAATTGCTCCATAACAATTAAGTACTCCTAAATATTTGAAGTTACCCTTGATCGTACTATTTCATAAAAAAAAACATGTAAACATCAAAAACACCCAAAATTGGACGATTTATCTACAGAACTGAATGCAGGCTCATCTGTAACTGTAATGTGTGGAGAGTGGGTTGCCCACGGCGCTTAGACCTCACTAGGTCTATTGTGAAATTCGGGCTCATATTAGTCATAACATTTTATTCGTTTATAGCAGAATATTTCTGTAGCTAGTTTTGGAAAATTTGAATAATAAATAATAATAATAATAATAAAACTACTTACAACCTTACGCAACCTCCAGTGCGATGGATGCAAGAGGCACTTACTCGTTGGCTGTATCGAGCTATCGACTGACGATCGCGTCAATCGAAATAAAGTACGAGGAATTAAAATTGTCTGCAATAATTGTAGTTCAGATTTCGATAAATTAAGTTATTAGACTCCAAGCTTACCGCTGTTCAGGATAAATTAAATAAGGTCGATGAATTAACATCGGTAAATGTTTGTGATGAAGCTGTCGATCGTCTTAAAAGGGCCAATAATATTATTATTCGTCGCATTTCCGAGATTAATGGAAATTTTGAGGAAAAAAAGCGACACCACTCTACAGAAATTAATAATGTACTGAAGGCAGTGAATTCTTCCGATCAACCTGTCACTTTTTTTCCGCGTTGGAAAAGTAGAGAAGCTTACAATAAATAGTTCATTTTCACCCTCCAAATTTCATCAGTCTAAGTATCACCGTTTAAAAGAAAAGGGGGGAGGGGACTTTTGAGAAGAACTGTATTTAATATGCAATTTAACATAGAAACCCCTAATCCTGATAGGGACATAACCTACAGTGTCACAAACTTTAATTACGTAAAGAGAGTCCTCTCTGAAATTGATTTATTTAAATTCCTTTTTGAATTACAGATTCGAGTATGGGAAAGTGATCAAGATCTGAGTACAGCGAATGATACAATAATACCATTTGGAGGAAAATTGGAAGGTTATGTGGATACCCTTTCACCTGGAAAAGTGTACAAATTGAGAGTTTTGGCGTATTCAAACGGCGGAGATGGCCGAATGAGTTCACCAGAAAAGGAATTCCAAATGGGTGCGTACAGAAGATTGTAAATTTATGTCAATTAGTAGTAAAGAATGACTTTTGGTGGAGGAAGCAAGTTGTGACAGAAAATTCATCAATATAACAGTAATTGTTAATTTTTTTTGATACAGAATTAAGGTCATACTTATCTTAAATGTTTAGTTATGAGAAAAGTTTTGGTATTTCATTTTCACAAGGACCGTTATCATAAATTCTGCACAGTCTATCCATCTACACTAAATTCAGTTATTCGGCTCATTGATTTTTTTATATATAAAGTGAGATGCATTCAAAACGATGATTCGCATCTAGTCATTCAAAGCACTTGCAAATTAATTATTTTACGATTGTTAGTTATTAATGTTAATAATTTTAAATTCAAATTTAAAATGTCAAATATTTTTATATACGTTGGTGGCCTTTTTCCTAAATAAATTCGGTCGTATTCTTCCATTTTAAAATAATTTAGTATGGCCCTTTATCTCATAATATGTGTAGTCTAAAAAGGGTAACAAAATCATCGATTGAAACAGGCCAGTGGATAAACCATCAAATTTCTCCAAGAAAAAGGCCACAGAATTTATGAAAATATAGAAGAAGACATTTTTGACTTATGACATTTATTTAAAAATTGTTTGCCATTCAAGCTAAAGCATCTATATGTAACAGATATTCTAGGAAATCATCGTCGGTAAACATTTTATATTAAAAATATCACAAAGGAAAAAATGAGGTTTGTAAAATTTAACAGAAATAGTTATCACACACATATAATTTGACCTTAGATTAGTAGTTGGACGTTATTTGTCCTTGTCCACCGCGACCTTTTCAGATCTATTGTGGGACCACACACAGACACACACACACACCACACACACACACACACACACACACACACACACACACACACACACACAGACACACACCACACACACCACACCCACACACACCACACACCACACACACACACACACACAGACACACACCACACACACAGACACACACCACACACACACACACCACACACAGACACACCACACACACACAGACACACCACACACAGACACACCACACACAGACACACCACACACAGACACACCACACACACACAGACACACACACACACACCACACAGACACACACCACACAGACACACACACACATCACACAGACACACACACACATCACACAGACACGCCACCACACAGACACACCACAGACACACCACACACACACACCACACACACACAGACACACACACACAGACACACACACACCACACAGACACACACACACCACACAGACACACACACACACACACCACACAGACACACACACACCACACAGACACACACACACATCACACAGACACACACACACAGACACACACACACACACACACACACACACACACACACACCACACAGACACACACACACACCACACAGACACACACACACACACCACACAGACACACACCACACAGACACACACACACATCACACAGACACACACACACATCACACAGACACACACACACATCACACAGACACACACACACACATCACACAGACACACACACATCACACAGACACACACACACACACATCACACAGACACACACACACACACACACATCACACAGACACACACACACACACATCACACAGACACACACACATCACACAGACACACACACACACCACACAGACACACACACACACACACACACACACCACACAGACACACACACACACACACACACACCACACAGACACACACCACACAGACACACAGACACACACACACACACACACACACCACACAGACACACACACACACCACACAGACACACACACACCACACAGACACACACACACCACACAGACACACACACCACACAGACACACACACACACACACCACACAGACACACACACACACACACACACCACACAGACACACACACACACACCACACAGACACACACACACACACACCACACAGACACACACACACACACACACCACACAGACACACACACACAGACACACACACACACACCACACAGACACACACACACCACACAGACACACACACACACACACCACACAGACACACACACACACACACACACACACACACCACACAGACACACACACACACACACACCACACAGACACACACACACACACACACACACCACACAGACACACACACACACACCACACAGACACACACACACACACCACACAGACACACACACACACACACACACCACACAGACACACACACACAGACACACACACACACACCACACAGACACACACACACACACCACACAGACACACACACACACACACACACACACACCACACAGACACACACACACACCACACAGACACACACACACACACCCCACACAGACACACACACACCACACAGACACACACACACACCACACAGACACACACACACACCACACAGACACACACACACACACACCACACACACACACACCACACACACACACACATACACACACACACCACACACACACACACACACCACACAGACACACACACACACACACACACACCACACAGACACACACACACACAGACACACACACACACCACACAGACACACACACACACACCACACAGACACACACACACACACACACACACACACACCACACAGACACACACACACCACACAGACACACACACACACACACCCCACACAGACACACACACACACCACACAGACACACACACACACACCACACAGACACACACACACCACACAGACACACACACACACACACACACACCACACACACACACACCACACACACACACACCACACACACACACACATACACACACACACACACACACCACACAGACACACACACACCACACAGACACACACACACACACCACAGACACACACAGACACACACATACACCACAGACACACACACACACACACATCACACAGACACACATACACACACACAGACACACACATACACCACAGACACACACACATCACACAGACACACACACACACACACCACACAGACACACACACACACACACACCACACACACACAGACACACCACACACACACGACACACACACGACACAGACACACACGACACAGACACACACGACACAGACACACACGACACAGACACACACACACACCACACAGACACACAGACACACACACACACACACACCACACAGACACACACACACACCACACAGACACACACACACCACACAGACACACACATACACCACAGACACACACATACACCACAGACACACACACACACACACACACACACACACACACACATCACACACACACCACACAGACACACACACACACACACACACACACACACACACACACACACACCACACAGACACACCACACACACACACGACACACACACGACACAGACACACACGACACAGACACACACGACACAGACACGACACAGACACACACGACACAGACACACACACCACACACAACACACACACACACCACAAACACACAGACACACACACAACACACCCTATACACACACACACACACAACACAGACACACACAACACACCCTATACACACAACACACACACACCCTATACACACAACACACACACACCCTATACACACAACACACACACACCCTATACACACAACACACACACACCCTATACACACAACACACACACACACACCCTATACACACAACACACACACACACACACACACACCCTATACACCACACACAACACACCACACACAACACAACACACCACACACCCTATACACCCTGTGTGTGTGTGTGTGTGTGTGTGTGTGTGTGTGTGTGTGTGTGTGTGTGTGTGTGTGTGTGTGTGTGTGTGTGTGTGTGTGTGTGTGTGTGTGTGTGTGTGTGTGTGTGTGTGTGTGTGTGTGTGTGTGTGTGTGTGTGTGTGTGTGTGTGTGTGTGTGTGTGTGTGTGTGTGTGTGTGTGTGTGTGTGTGTGTGTGTGTGTGTGTGTGTGTGTGTGTGTGTGTGTGTGTGTGTGTGTGTGTGTGTGTGTGTGTGTGTGTGTGTGTGTGTGTGTGTGTGTGTGTGTGTGTGTGTGTGTGTGTGTGTGTGTGTGTGTGTGTGTGTGTGTGTGTGTGTGTGTGTGTGTGTGTGTGTGTGTGTGTGTGTGTGTGTGTGTGTGTGTGTGTGTGTGTGTGTGTGT